TTTTTTTTTTTTTTGATCTGCTAAATTTTGGTCAGACGTCACCATTCAGGCCTTATTCTTTTATGGGAGAATTGACTAGTGTGTAGACGGTGAAGCCCTGAAGGCAGACATGAACATAGTTAGGTCACTGTAGGGGACTTGATGGTGGCATAATCTCTGTATAGTGTGGGGGGTTATTGCACTCTTTTGCTCAGTGACTGTCTTGTTTTATTTTTGTTCAAGCTATCTGATGTTAATAGAATCACAGCTTCACTTACAGTGAGTACAGAAATGAATCACCACCTTTGTAATAATCACATTTTCTTGCTTTGCAGCCTGAAATGAAGATAGAGTCAGTTGTCTTAGCCAGCTGTATTTACTCAGTGCAACTTATAACATCCAAGTGAAAGATATAACACCAACATGTCACAAAAAATAAAAAAAAATGAAGAACAGAATCACTGAGTTCGAAAAAGAATCGCCCCCTTGTGTCAGTATTTTGTTGAACCACCTTTTGCATTAATTACAGCCTTTAGTCTGTTGGGATATGTCTTTACTAACTTTGCACATCAAGACTTTGCAATATTTGGCACTCTTCCTTACAGAACTGCTCAAGGTCAGTTAGATTTGATGTTGTCCGTTTGTGGACTGCAGTCTTCAAGTAATTCCACAGATTTTCAATGGAGTTTAAGTCTGGGCTGTGAATAGGCCTTGCAAAGACATTCACCTTTTTCTCCTTCGACCACTGTGTGGTCAATTTTGCCGTGTGGTTTGGGTCATTGTCATGTTGGAAGGTAAACCTTCTTCCCATTGAAAACTTTCTGGCAGAGGGCAGAAGATTTTCCTAAAGAATTTGATGGTATTTTGCCCCGTCCATTTTCCCATCTCCCCTGACAAGTGCTCCAGTCCCTGCTGCAGAGAAACCCCCCATACCAGGATATTACCACCTCCATGCTTTACTGTAAGAATGGTGTTATTTGGATGGTGAGCTGGATTGGATTTCTGCCAAACATATTGTTTAGTTTTGAGGCCAAAGAATTCAATTTTAGTCTCTTCTGACCATAACACCTTTTTTCCGTGTGGCCTCAGAATCTTTAAGGTGTGTTTTGGCAAAGCTCAATTGTGACTGCGTGTGGCTTTCTTGAGGAGCAGCTTTTTTCTTGCAACCCTCCCATACAAGCCACATTTGTGGAGAATTTGTGATATTGTCACATGCACACAATAACCACTCTGTCATAAATTCCTGCAACTGCTTCAGAGTTGCTGTAGGCCTCTTGGTAGCATCTCTGACCAGTTTCTTCCTGTCTCTTTCATTCAGTTTGGAGAGACGTCCTGATCCAGGGAAGGGTCTGCATTGTACCAAATAGCTTCCATGTCTTAATAATAGACTTCACTGTGCTTTTAGGCATTGATAAAGCCTTTGAATTTTTTTGGATCCATCTCCTGACTTGTGCCTGTCCACATCTTTATCCTGGAGATCTTTTGACAGTGCCTTGCCACCCATAGTTGATTGTTTGCTTCAGTTGCACTACCAAGGACTGAAATGCTCTCGGAAAGCTCTTTTCGTGCTGAACTAATCAAAATGACCACAGCTGATCAGAGCTGAAAGTCAAATGGCTTTGTGTGCCATTGAGAAGGCGATTAGCTACACCTGACAGTCATTAGGCGGGGGTGATCCTATTTCCAACTCAGTGATTCTGTTTTTGATTTTTTTTCCTGACATGTTGGTGTTATATCTTTCATGTTTATGTTATAAATATAGCTGGATAAAACAAAAACTGTGACTCTCTTCATTTCAGGCTGACAAGCAAAACAAATGTGATTATTTTAACCATTTGCCCTCCTGAGGATTTCCCCCCCCCCCCTTCCTGACCAGGCCATTTTTTGTGTTACGGCACTGCGTTACTTTAACTGACAATTGTGCGGTCATGTAACGCTGCACCCAAATGAAATTTACGTCCATTCTTTCCTACAAATTGAGCTTTCTTTCGGTAGTATTTGATTGCCTGTGCATTTTTTATTTTTTGCACTATAAACAAAAAAAGACCGTCAATTTTGAGAAAAAAAAACAATATTTCGGACTTTTTGCTATTAAACAAGTCCAGTAAAAAAATTTAAAAAAAATCTAATTTCGTTATAAATTTAGGCCAAAATGTATTCTGCAACATGTCTTTGCTAAAAACAATCCCAATACGTGTAAATTAATTGCTTTACGTGAAGTTATAGCGTTTACAAATGGCAGTATAGATACTGGGATCTTTTTTTCTACTAGTAATGGCGGCGATCAGTGACTTTTAGCAGGACTGTGGTGGACATTCTGACACTGGGGGGAAACTAACTTGGTGTCACTGACATCCCCAGTGACACCAATACAGTGATTAGTGCTAAAAAAAAGCATTGACACTGTACTAATGGCACTGGACAGGAAGGGGTTAATATGAGAGGTGATCAAAGGGATAACTATATGTAGTGAGTGTTTTACTAGGGGGCGGGGGAGGGGTGCTTCATTGTAAGCACACTGATCGGGATGGCTTTGCTGTGCACAGCCATCACGAGCAGTGTGCACGAGCTGACAGGGAGGAAGATTTGTAAACAAAACAATCTTTCTCCCCATCGAAGATGCTCAGTAATCACCGGGCGCCAGGGGCGGACTGACCATTTGGAAACTCGGGCACTGGTACCTTTTTCATAGGCTTTTTTGAATTTAGGCAAGGACACAGGGGCCCCATGATCCCCTATTGCACGGGGGCCCCATGAGTTGTCAGTCCACCCCTGCCGGGCGCTGGCGGTTAATTACCGGAAAATGCAAAATCACGTATATATATACGTGATTTTGCGCACCCGTGCCACCCTTTAGCAGTATTTCTGCTATAGGGCGGTCGGGAAGCGGTTAAAGGAGGTGATTATTTTCTATACCCTTTATTTTGGTGTTGTTTAGTTAATGAGCAGGGGGTGTGTCAGAATGGTTAGAGTAGTAGCATTTGAGGTCCCTGTTCCAGATTAATCCCAGAGGGCCTTGTATTCACTCTGCGTCTCCTTCTGGGGTGCACTACATATATATGTAGAACCTTCCTAGTTAGCTAGGGGGAGTTAGCTGATTATTTTTTTAGTCAGAAGGGCAGGCTTTTTTAGTCAGAAGCAGTCTGGGCAATAGTCAGTTGGGTCAAATTCAGGTTAGGGCTAAGAGGCTCTGCAGATCAGTTCCTTGATACCTCCCTCTGCTCTAGAAACTGGAGAAGATTCTAGAAGCAGTGGGCAGGGGGGAGTAGGAGCTGGTCTGCACTCTTGCTGTCCAATCCCCAAGCAGGAGGCTTGACATGCGGTCAGGGCAGCCCTTAAGAGTGACTGAGCCTGATCATTAGCAGGAGAGTTTGGGTGGAACATGTGAGGAAGCTGAGATGCAGGAACCTGGGAGTGAGGACCACTTGTAGAGCCAGGAAAGGAGCCAGCCAGCAGAAACCCGGAAGGCAGCCACCTACCTAAATCAGCTTGCAGGACTGGGACTGAGTGAGTAATCCCACACCCCGTGGGCCAGACAAGGGGAGAGGGCATTCTGGTGGGAAACCTGACTAGCCCCCATCTGGGACTACTAATTTTAGGGTGGATGATTATGTGTCCCCTTGTCCAGGAATTGCCTCAGGCAGCTGGGTGAAGAGGGGATTTAATCTGGGGACTGGGGTGATACGCCAGGAGAGGCTGGATAGCTCTCCAAAGAAGAGAAACCCTTCTGAGCACTTGTACATAGTTCCAGGAAGTTGTCCTCAATTTAACAGTTCTTTGGGCATCCCATGTATCCCTCATCCCCATCTAAGTTCAAATCCCCCAGTAAAATAAACTGGAGTGCAAGGCTGGAGGGAATGAATGTTGCCTGACTGTGCAGGACTATAATCTCTAGCAACTCCTAAGGGGGTAGTGCTACATACTGTATATGATCCTGTCTGGAAGAAATTAACTCATTCCTGGAAATATTTTAATGAAGCAATGCTTTTTGAAGGGGCAACAAGTAACCCCTGTCTGTGTGTGTATAGTGAATTGCTGTTTCAATTGGTGTTTCATTTTGCCTCTTAGTATTTTATCCCTGCTTCCCCCAGTAGTCTTGTTTTTCTCTCCACCCTTCTTGTATTATGTTACAGTTACCATTCCGTCCACGTATGTATTGCTGGAGTGGTTCATATTATAATCTTTTGATTTATCTGGATATTTGCTGTTTTCAAAATCTGCACAGTTTTGGGTAAATTTCAGATTAAATGATCTTCACGGTGTCATCCTGTCGTAATAACTGTCTGCTAACACTTCTGAGATTGTAAGTTATTGCTATCTTGCTATAACTGGCTGGATATGGAGTCACCAGTGGTTTCATTCTGACGCGTTTTGTCCCTCCCACTGGGCGTTTTCAGAAGAACCTCTGAAGACGCCCCGTGGAAGAGGCAAAATGAATAGATAAAAAACCATCGGTGACCTCATATCTGGCTGACAGAGCGCAAGTTGGTGTGTCGCTTCTGGTCCAGGGATTCTGCTCTGAACCGTTCATTTTAATGTCAGTGCAATCGATTTTTGTTTGTTTTAATTATTAAAAGGAATTACGCATTGTGGGTCCCCTCTGTTACTTTCTACATGCATGACAGCCATTTACCCTTGTGACCATTGACACTGATTGGAGACATACTGCTACCAATACAAGATACAACTATTGAGGAGAACTACAAGTCCCAGCAAAACCAGGATTATTAGCCAAGTGATGTAGACTTAAATGCATTTAAGAGTCCACAGAAGTCGGTGAGTGAGTGGGATCACTGGCGGGGAGCACAGCATGCAAGATTGCACTTTATATTAAGAAATAGTGCACCAGGACATATAAGAGACAGCACCAATTATTTGTATAAGGCAACATGTGGATTTGAATTAATTGATATTGTGTTTATATTTTTTTTTTCACCTGTATTCATCTATTCTGATTAGGCAGCACTTACATCAATTATTTGTTAAACTGATGATTGTCACATTTTTCTTTCAGAACTAACATGCAGACAGTCCTGACACTTATGAGAGAGCTGTCTATCCAGTGCAACATGACCTTACACCAGTCGGAAATCATGAACTTTTTGAAGGAGGAACATTATGACATTGCAGTGGTGGACGCATTCAACCCGTGCGCTATGCTGGTTACCGAGAAGCTGGGACTCCCATTTATTGCTTTCTTTCCTACAATAATGGCCAATGCTTACCGTATAGGAATGCCGAGTCCTCTCTCCTATAGTCCATTGTTCCAGACTCAGCTCACTGACCAGATGGATTTCTATGGACGTTTAAGGAACACATTGACTTTTTTTGTTTCATTAGTAATCCTGAAAAAGATGGACTCACTGTTTGATGGTGTAATCAAAGAACATTTTCCTGTTGACTCTAGACCAAATATACCCGATCTTCACTTGAAAGCTGAGCTCTGGCTGTACAATGTAGACTTCACCCTTGAATTTCCTCGTCCACTTCTGCCTCACGTTCAGTACATTGGGGGATTATTGGCCAAACCTGTAAAACCAATATCACAAGTAAGTATGGCATGAATGACCTTTGCTTTAATAAAACAAGCTAAAAGAATTTTAAAGTCCAACTCAAGTCAAAGCTTTTATTTTTAATAGCTTGGAGAGAGTGATGGAGGGTCTGCAAGGTTGTTTTTTTACTACTGTCTGTGACCCCACTGGGAATATTTATCATCTGGGATCAAAAATAAAAGGAGCAAGGGTCCAAAGAACAAAAATACTTTTTTTTGTTTTAGCTTTGGATAGAGTGGCGAAATGTTAGACTTATATAAAAATATAACTTATATATAAAATCTATATATAAAATCGAGCGCAGTGTATAGGTGTAAGTACGGTAGCTGCTTGCACAAAAAGGCACCTCGGGAACCTCCAAAGTAATTGATAAAGAATGAGAGTGCAGCGCTAACCCAAATAGCGATTAAACATATGATAGACCACATATGATAGTGGATCAGTAAAATGTCAGTGTAAGTTCATCAGATGTGCTGAAAATGCATACAGTCTCCAATATGTAAAGAACCAAAAGTAGTGACTTTCAGAAATGATAATAGCCAAATAATGCACTAACCAGATAGCGCATATTAAAGCGCATGGAGCATTTAAGACCTGCCCCTGGTGCTCAGCCACTGTATCACTGGAGCCAGGAGATGTCATCTATAGGGTGACCACTAGATGTCATCTATCCGGATGGAAGCTGAGTCCAGCCACTGTATTAGAGGATCAGGCGGATGTCATCTATAGGGCGACCACTAGATGTCATCCGTTCCAGGAGGAGCTGTGTCATGGATCCAGGGATGTCACTTGCAGATGTGTCCTTTGCTAAGCACAGCCCCAGGACCTTCAGAATTACAGGCTCCCCAGAAATAAAGAGCCCGTGGAAAAAGGCCTCAAATAGTGTGATATCGTTTATTAAAGTAGGTAAATAATCAGAAAAGAACTTACTAACAACGGTTCAGCTGCTCATAAACGGCCAGACCAGAGGTACATGTACACAGGATATAAATAGCTTGGCACTTCCCTAACGCGTATCGTGTGAGTACACATCATCAGAGGGACTGTGCCAGTGGTAAAAGGAGTGTTTTTATACATAAAAAAAGCGCCAAAATACATCGCAATGCGGCGGCATTGCCGTTATTGCCGGTTCGCGCATGCGCAGTAGCGTTCGCGGCGGCCATTTTTAAGAAGCCAAAACACATTATGGACATACAAATGTTGGTTCAGCAGTAATCTTAGTGGGAACAAGATACTGCATTCCTAAATCAACATGGGGCAAGTGGATTAGCTGAAATTACACATGGAACATACTTAATGCCCCATTGTAACAAGAACAGCCTGGTGAAACAATATTAAAAAAATGTATTAAACTAGAAAATACTAAGGTGCATCGACTTTTTACAGCGATTATAGCACTCAAAATGGAATATACAGATAAAGGCAAAATACATCAAATGCGTCAAACATATAAATTAAAACCACTCTGGTTAAAAAAGTAATATCATTAAAAATATTAAATTTTAAAACCAATGTACTAAGATTAAGGTGCATCAACTTATTGAAAGCGATTATGTTACTCTAGTATGAATACAAGTAAAGACAAATTACGTCAAACATATAGATTAAAACCAATCTGGTTTAAAAGGTAAAATCATTAGAAATATTAAATTCTAAAAGTAATAATGTACTTCAGATCATAAGCGATCGATCAGCTGGTATCGATGAAACAATTAATATCTAATTCTACGTTTAGTCCCTGTGGAACTTGGGACTGTAGAAGATATATCCATTTGGTCTCGAGCATGGAGACCGCTCGTTTTTTGTGGATACCCCTCCAGTTACTTTTGATGGTATCGATACCTACAAAACGCAGGGAATGTGGATTCCTATTGTGTCGCTGGCGGTAATGCATAGACAAGGAGTGCTCCTTGTAACCTTTCTTAATATTGACCAGGTGTTCTCTCAATCTGTCTCTCAGTCTCCTTGTCGTTCTACCTACATATTGCTTCCCGCAACTACATTCCAAAAGGTAGACAACATAGGAGCTGCAGCATGTGATCGTAGACTGAATGTCAAAAGATCTACCAGTTGAATTCGAACAGAAACTTTTTATCGGGTTCTTGTGAATTCCAGTTCTTCCTAATAATTCTGGCAACTTCTTTATATTGCATCGAAATTGTCCCCTGGGGATGTTATCCAGCCACCTAGGCAGGACAGTTGCCACCTGGCTGGATAACATCCCCAGGGGACAATTTCTTCGGATAAGGCGGAACTGTGGTAATATGCAAGATTTCATTGCACAGTCTAACATTCTTAGAACAAGATTCATAGAAAAGGGCTATGACAGCCAACTACTGGATATGGAGATTGACCGAGTGGCTAGTTTGGACAGGACTAACCTGCTAACTACACAACATAAGACCAATAAAAAGATTTTCTGTCCCTTTACAACTACCTTTTCGATGCAATATAAAGAAGTTGCCAGAATTATTAGGAAGAACTGGAACATTCTTAAGAGTGACCCGGTGATGTGTAAAGCCTTACCGGAGCATCCAGAAATCATCTACAGAAAAGCACCTTCACTAAGAAACAGACTAGCCCCCAACATTGTCAATCCCCCAAAGCAACTCACGTTTGACTTTCTAAATAGAAAAGGGTTTTTTTCCTTGTAACAGATGTATGATATGCACTTGTAATGGAATTCACAAGAACCCGATAAAAAGTTTCTGTTCGAATTCAACTGGTAGATCTTTTGACATTCAGTCTACGATCACATGCTACAGCTCCTATGTTGTCTACCTTTTGGAATGTAGCTGCGGGAAGCAATATGTAGGTAGAACGACAAGGAGACTGAGAGACAGATTGAGAGAACACCTGGTCAATATTAAGAAAGGTTACAAGGAGCACTCCTTGTCTATGCATTACCGCCAGCGACACAATAGGAATCCACATTCCCTGCGTTTTGTGGGTATCGATACCATCAAAAGTAACTGGAGGGGTATCCACAAAAAACGAGCGGTCTCTATGCTCGAGACCAAATGGATATATCTTCTACAGTCCCAAGTTCCACAGGGACTAAACGTAGAATTAGATATTAATTGTTTCATCGATACCAGCTGATCGATCGTTTATGATCTGAAGTACATTATTACTTTTAGAATTTAATATTTCTAATGATTTTACCTTTTAAACCAGATTGGTTTTAATCTATATGTTTGACGTAATTTGTCTTTACTTGTATTCATACTAGAGTAACATAATCGCTTTCAATAAGTTGATGCACCTTAATCTTAGTACATTGGTTTTAAAATTTAATATTTTTAATGATATTACTTTTTAACCAGAGTGGTTTTAATTTATATGTTTGACGCATTTGATGTATTTTGCCTTTATCTGTATATTCCATTTTGAGTGCTATAATCGCTGTAAAAAGTCGATGCACCTTAGTATTTTCTAGTTTAATACATTTTTTTAATATTGTTTCACCAGGCTGTTCTTGTTACAATGGGGCATTAAGTATGTTCCATGTGTAATTTCAGCTAATCCACTTGCCCCATGTTGATTTAGGAATGCAGTATCTTGTTCCCACTAAGATTACTGCTGAACCAACACTTGTATGTCCATAATGTGTTTTGGCTTCTTAAAAATGGCCGCCGCGAACGCTACTGCGCATGCGCGAACCGGCAATAACCGGCAATGCCGCCGCATTGCGATGTATTTTGGCGCTTTTTTTATGTATAAAGACACTCCTTTTACCACTGGCACAGTCCCTCTGATGATGTGTACTCACACGATACGCGTTAGGGAAGTGCCAAGCTATTTATATCCTGTGTACATGTACCTCTGGTCTGGCCGTTTATGAGCAGCTGAACCGTTGTTAGTAAGTTCTTTTCTGATTATTTACCTTCTTTAATAAACGATATCACACTATTTGAGGCCTTTTTCCACGGGCTCTTTATTTCTGGGGAGCCTGTAATTCTGAAGGTCCTGGGGCTGTGCTTAGCAAAGGACACATCTGCAAGTGACATCCCTGGATCCATGACACAGCTCCTCCTGGAACGGATGACATCTAGTGGTCTCCCTATAGATGACATCCGCCTGATCCTCTAATACAGTGGCTGGACTCAGCTTCCATCCGGATAGATGACATCTAGTGGTCACCCTATAGATGACATCTCCTGGCTCCAGTGATACAGTGGCTGAGCACCAGGGGCAGGTCTTAAATGCTCCATGCGCTTTAATATGCGCTATCTGGTTAGTGCATTATTTGGCTATTATCATTTCTGAAAGTCACTACTTTTGGTTCTTTACATATTGGAGACTGTATGCATTTTCAGCACATCTGATGAACTTACACTGACATTTTACTGATCCACTATCATATGTGGTCTATCATATGTTTAATCGCTATTTGGGAAATGTTAGACTTGTTATGTATTTATTGATGCCTGTACCCGCATTGGGCAGATTCACCCTTTCTATATGTCCTCTTGACCATTGACTCTGAGACAAAAAGCCAAGAGGAATCCAAAATGGCACCAGAATAAGAAGTAAGGGCAAATCATTAAATGGGAATAAATGCTTTGGCAACAAAAGCCTACAATGGGAGTTCACTGTTGTGATATATCCTCTCATTTGATGTTGTGTCTCCAGGACATGAAGTAAAGGGAATACTCCTCAGTGGATCACAGGCACCTAAAACCTAACAGGAGTTTTAAAGGAGAAGTAAAGAGAAAGCTCCTTTTGGCTGTACTTCTCCTGTGTATCACAGGAGTGCAGTGTGTTCTGCACTCCTGTGACCCATTTTCAATGGACAATGGGCTAAAGTCCGCTGTTGGCTGACATCACTCAGGCGGTCCAGGCTTGGGAAAGATCTCGACTTTAAAGTCGACATTCAACCAGATGTCTGGAACGGAACCTGGCTAAGCCTCTCAGTGATCTGCTGAGAGGCTGAGCCAGATGCTCCCCCACCCCCATTCACAGCCCAGTGCTCCAGTGAGTACTGGGGGGGGGGGGGTGCAGAGCAGACAGCGGGGACTGACAGTTACCAGTTATATGCTCACGGAACATTGAGAACTGAGCAATCATCAGTGTCTGATCACTCAGTTCTCAGTCTTAGAGACAGCGGGGGACAGATGCAGCATTGGACAAATTCCGCATCCACTTAGGTAAGTATGATTTCTTAAAAAACTCCTAAACTTCTCTTTTAAGGTTTCCCTAATCCAAAAATGAAAACAGTGTGAACTTTACACACATTTTAATACTTGCTCAGAGCTTTGGTTACATCTCTCTGAGCAAGTCAGCAAGTCCAAAGTCAGCTTAATTGCACAGTACACAGCCCCAGGCAGGCATTGTATTAGGGGTTCGTGGATAAAAATCCAAACATACAATTCACTACTGCTAACAAAAATGTGTTTTCTTTCTATTTAGGAACTGGAAGACTTTATATCTGAGTCCGGCGATGCTGGTTTCATTGTAGTGACTCTGGGATCGATGTTCTCCTCACTCCCACTAGCGGAATTCATCAAAGAAATGAACGGCGGATTTGCTCAGATCAAGCAGAAAGTGATATGGAGTTATCAGAGGTCAAAATGGCCACAAGAGGTGGAAATTGCTCCCAATGTGAAAATTATGGATTGGGTGTCACAGAACGATTTACTTGGTAAAAATTGTACTATTTATGCAGAAACTGATCAGTTATTTTATTAATGCATATAGAGTTGCCACCTCATTCCTTTAAAACAGAAAACATATTAATTACACAGGTTTTGAGGCTACTTTAACGTAGATAAGGCATTAATTGAGTTTAATTTCCACTCTAATCAGCCACAGAACTTGTGTAATTAATATGTGTTCGGATTTAATGGGAAGCCATCACCACTGGGAATGGCTTTCATAATAAGACCATTTGGCCATACATTGTACTTTGCTTGAGGGTCTTTCAACAAAACAAGATCCATTACTTGAACATTTGGTTTCTCCTCTTTCTACTTTCTTCTTGTTTGGAGGGATGACAAATATTTTTGCTTCCAGCATTTCCAAAAGGTATCAGCAAGGTTCTGAACCTGCTTCCACTGGCACTCGTAGAGATCTTTCAAAGTGAACTAACCAGATGGTGCTAATACTGCACAAGTCAAGAGCATTGCTGGTGTTTTCATATCTGATCTCACTGTCAGAGTTTGATCTAAATATCTCGGCTTCAGGAGGCTCGCTTGTATCTCTATGACACAAGAAATCTGCTCCTGACAACCAGTTGGTATGTTTCAGGTGAGCTTCTTGAATTAGTCTGGTACCGTGATCTGCTGGGTTCTGACTAGTAGAAGCGTAATGCAACTGATCTGGACTTGTGGATTTTCTAATGCGGATTATACTGTTTGAGACATACACGCAAAATCTTCTGGAGGTGAATATAACCTAACACAATTTTTCTTTCAGTGTAGTGTTTAACTGCATCAGGCTCGAAGTCAATTTCTTCAAGAATCAGTTCTGCTAGCAAAACTGACAAAACGGCTGCACATAACTCTAAACGTGGCACTGTGTGGGCTGGTTGGAGATAGGCTCAATAGAAGCATACTTTGTCATAACTTGGTCTGGAGCATGGTTCTGTACATATTCATGAGTCCTTTGCACTGAATCCTATTTCCTCAAGATCTTGAAGCGGATACCCTTTCAAACTAACCGTAGTTTTGCATACTAAAGCTTCTGCTGATGCTGCTGCTGCTGCCGCCTTTTGAGTCTACTGCACCAGACTCTGCTTTCTGCCTCAAGGAGCTGGATTCTAACTCTGCTTTCTGCCTCATCAGGTCATCATCTTTTTGAGTGTATAAAGCCTCTGCATGCGCTGCTTCTGCCTTTGCTCTTGCTTGCCTGCAGAAACTGACTGATGAACTGCTGGAAATCACTGAATATCCGGAGTGAGACATGTGAGACCTGTTCTCTAAAGTTTGATGCAGAATGTCCAAACTCCTATCTGGATCCATAATGTGTGAATTAAAGTGCAGTACTGTCCCAAGTACAGTTTTCCTGTGGATTCTTTCACTTTCAAATAAAGCTCCTTATCTTCACCTGTATATGTATGCTTTTTTTACTGTGAAGCTTCTCTATCTTCTACACAGATGCCTTTTCACTAGGAAGCACCTCTGTCTTTGCCTGTATACAGAAGCACTTATAAGTTCACCTGAATACAGATGCATTTTTTCTACGCTGTCCTGCTAACAAAACGCTAAGTCATCCGATTATCTCATCGTGTGTACTAGGCATTAGACTGATTTTTTTTATTGCCTTTGCCAATTTTTCAGGGCACCCTAAACTGCGTCTTTTTGTGACACATGGAGGAATGAACAGTTTGATGGAAGCTGTGTATCATGGAGTTCCTGTTCTTGGGATTCCACTTCTAGGGGACCAGAAAGAAAATATGGTCAGAGTAAAAGCCAAACAAATGGGAACTTATATTCTACCTGGCCAACTTAAGGCTGACAACTTTGCCGGGACTATTCAGCACATCATTGAAAATAAAAGGTACTGTAATTGTTCGCAATGTAATATCTGTGAGATCTGCATCAGATAACATGTATTGCATATCTGTGAGGTTTGATGTCAGATAACTGTAACTGACAGAAGAATGTGCTGTGAACGCTTTTTACTGAAACACAGCACAAGGTAACAGTTTTAACCCAAGCAGATAGAACACAATACACATCTAGGTACCCCTCCCCAATCACCGATTAGGGGAGCTCCCTATGCGTCACAAAGAGTTCTTTTTTATAACAATGCACCTTCTCCTTCCCTTTACTGTCAGCTGATGATTTGCTGCAATGTGCTGAAGCATTTTGTAGTCACCCAACAAAACTCAATCAAAGATAAACTCCAAAAAATGGCTCAGCGTACAGATGAAATACACATATGAAACCTGTTTTACATGCCAGAGGATTTGTGATTCTGTCCGTGAAGTCCTGGGATTTACACAGCTTTACCCCAGTTCTGCCCCACAATCTTATCTAGCAACAGAGAAGACCTGACCTCTCCCTACTGTACTTTCACTTTCATTTACAGGTCTCTACTCACAACCTGTGACTGGACAGTAAAAAGAGAAGCAGCACACGGCTGAACTTCTGCTTCACCCTCCCCTTGAGCCACTTCCCCCTGTCTTCTACAGGCTTCTAGAATCATAGTGGGAAGGAGAGCAGAACAGGCAGTCTGAATATTATAGGCCTCCAGCAAATCCTTGGGGACATGTGCCCAGAAGGTGGTGAGAGAGACCATAAATAGCCAGAGGCCAAGGCAGCAGTGTGCAGTATGCCTGGTCCCAGTCCTGCAAGAGAAGACCCCTGTGCGGGGCTCTGCCCCCCCGGGTACAGGATCCTTGAGAAAGCTTGGAATAACACATCATGGTTTAGCTGGGGGCCTAGTCACAGATCTGTGTCCAGGGATCAAGTTGGGTCAGAAGGAAGCTCACAGGAGATAGCCAGGAGGACGTTGGTGGGAAAGGGTCCAGCTGTCCCAGGGTGGTGTGAGTCTGCATCTCTCTCACTAGGAAGAGCCTGGTGTAAAACAGCAGGGGGCAACCGACGAGTCTGTGGCTAAGTGAGTAGTTGGCCCTCAGTAATGGAGGAAAAGTGACTGTGCATAGCTTTCCTTAACTCTGGAAGTAACACATGTCACCTACAGCATAAATTACTCTGTGGGACATTCAGTAGTTTGTGTAGTGCAGTCAGCAGTTCTGGGCCCAGCAGCCAGAATTTGAGGAGTCCTCAAGTTATCCAGTTCTACATTTTCAGGGTATCCCATGCTCCCTTGTCCCCCAGAGAAAACCCCTAGACTGTTTTCTGAGCTGGTGTAAGAATGAAGAAAATGCCATCTCCCTGGCTGTGTGTGCTCTGAGGGGGGAAATAGGACCAAAATTTCTAGCGACTCTGTACACCCCATGCTACATACTGTACAGACATGTTCCGAAAGGGTTAGATTTTAATCAAGCATACTATGAGTGTGACATACTGTATGGGTCATGCACATCTAAAAGGTGCTTTACAGAGTCTTAGAGCCTAAGATTAGTATTTTTTTTTTAATCAACCCAAATTATGGTATGTCCCTGGCCCTTGTGGCTGCTGTTTTACAGTAGATGAAATGTAAAGCCCTCTGATCCTCCCTTCCAACTTTGCCCACTGTCATCTGCAGTGAGGTGGGGGGGGGGGGGGGGGGGGGGGGTTAGTGACAGTGTGAGCTGCATATCTATACAAACATTTCATCTGAATTTCAATTTGGACCAGACTACACATACTAGACATGTGTATTTTGTTCCAGATTGAAATTTAGGTGAAATTTTTGGTATTCAGAGATTTCGAATTATCCAAATTTCCAAATGACAATAGAAATGGATTTAAATGAATCCCTCACAAGGAAACAACATTATATCAGAAACTCGAATCAAATTCAAACATGAAATCAAATTCGAAATATAAACATATTGCTGATTTCCTTCAAAGACTGTGTGTATTAGTGTCAGAATATGTGTGTTCCAAAATCAAATTTCGAATAGAATAGAATAAAACAGAATAGAGTAAAACTGAACAGAATAGAAAATAAAATAAAAGACTAAAATAGAATGGCAATTAAAGGAATAGAATAGAAAATAATAGATTAGAATAAAATCAAAAGAATATAGACGTGATCCAGAATTCAAATTTTGAATAGAATAAAATAGAATAGAAAATAAAAGAATAGACTAAAACAGAAACAATAGAATGGAATAAAATAAAAATATAACCGTCTTATGAAATTTGAATTTTGAAAAGAATAGAATAAAACAGAATGGAATAGAATACTAGATAAAATAATAGAAAAATAGAAAAAAAAAAGAATAAAATAGACTATAACCATCTTCTAAAATTTGAATGTCGAAAAGAAAAAATAGAATAGATTACAGTAGAATAGAAAAGAATACAGTAAAACAGAACCAAATAGAAAATAAAATAATAGAATTAGCAAATAATAGAATATAATCTAAAAGAATAGAATCGGTATTCTTCACAATGAATTTGGATCGATTTAATATTTTCTATTTTAATTCAATTCAAATACTTTGAATCCATTGAAAAAATTTGAATACAGTCGAAATAAATTAAACTAAACTAAATTTTGTTACAAATGCAACAAAACAAAATTAGTAAATTAATGAATTGCTCTGAAACTAAAAACTAATTTTTCCATTCTGCACGTCTAATACATATTTACATTGGTCCAGGCTAAAATTGGCATACCTGGAATTCAGCTTTAAAGTTTTGTTGTTAAATCAGACAAGTTGTAAAATCTCTGCCCTTGGCCCTGACTGTATCTCCTTATATGTTCACAGCTACAAGACATCAGCAATGAAGCTGCAAGCCATTAGGAGGTCACAGCCCTTTCCTCCAGACCAACAATTACTGAGATGGGTGGAGCACATCATCCAATCGGGTGGAGGTGGTCATCTTCATCCCTATTCTTACAAACTGCCCTGGTATCAGTATTGGCTGCTGGATGTCATTCTATTCCTCTCCTCATCATCCTCACCGTGGTCGTCTACCTCATTGTGACATTATTCAGGACTCTCATTACGAAATTATGTTCTCCAGGAAAACTAAAGAGGAACTAATGAAACGTGGCCGTCTATTGGAATTGAAGATGATTTTGTGGTGCTCACAATATAAATACCTCGAGTGTCAGTGAAATTATGAAACTGCTGATTACTAACCTCAGGGACATTGCTGTGATCTGACCTATGGTGGGCCATGTACAGTGCAATAAAACTGAATGATCAATGTCCAAATCAACAAAACAATTGAAATGGACATCAAATTAAACAATACAAAACATACCTTTTTTTGTGCCCTTGTGAATTGATCTACATGTAAGGGTGTGAAAAACCGTCATTGATTGACCCTGTACGATCAATTTTTTCTCCCATAACCAATTGACTTGGGTTGATCGAAATCATCATTATCTATTGCTCATTGCTTGCCCATGCCATTTTTGCTTAGCTCAATCGATGTAAAATTTTGATGGTTTTGTCATATTGTACATTGACTGTTCAAGGGTGTATGGCCACCATTAGATTTTAAGAAAACATTCTGCATACTATCCTTGCTCTTTACCTTCCTCTAAGTCAGGGTCTCCAAGCTAAGGCCCGCAGGAAGAATCCGGCTCAATGCAAGATTTTGTTCAGCTCTCTGATGTATGATGGACTCTGATGGGACTTTGATGTAAAGGGGACTTCAATGGGAATTCTGATGTAAGAGGCACTCTGATGGGAACCCCAATGTGAATGGGGGACTCTCATGAGGAGGGTTGTGAAAAGAGATTCACAGAAAAGCGGCTACATAATGAACAGAACGTGACACTAAGGGAATAATTTCCAAAAATTATGCTTTATTACACACAAATGAATATGACATATGGGCATTCGCCCTGGTTTACCATCACCTCAGTATGAGACAATACACACAGACCTAAAACCATTTAAAATGACACATAAACCGGTCTAAATGTATGTGTAGCAGGGAAAATGGCTACATGAGTCTAGTGTCCCTGCAACACAAACACACAGGTGAACACTTCCCTAGGGAGGTGTATCCAAAAATTATGCCATGGGCATACCATAATAGAGGATATGAGGGATTAAACAGTAACCATAAATCCCTATGGCAAATCCCTATCAAGCAATGGAGCAAGCATCCAAAAAAATTATGCTGTAGATATATATATATTGTACACATGTATGCAATGGAGCAAGCACACATATGAAAGTCAAAAAGGAGAGTAGTTGCAGGCCTCAGGCCTGTATGAAGGAAGACATTTTTCTTCCATCCACTGGAAATAAATGGGCAATATTCCCCCCCAGGTATGTCAAATATATTGTACAAGATAATACATTCCTGTGCCGGCACAAGTGGTTGGGGCCCATTCATCTGTAATATAGATAGCTGTGATATATATATATCTACAGCATAATTTTTTGGATTTCTTGATAGGGATTTGCCATTATGGTTACTGTTTAATCCCTCATATCCTCTATTATGGTATGCCCATGGCATAATTTTTGGATACACCTCCCTAGGGAAGTGTTCACCTGTGTGTTTGTGTTGCAGGGACATAGACTCATGTAGCCATTTTCCCTGCTACACATACATTTAGACCGGTTTTTGTGTCATTTTAAATGGTTTTAGGTCTGTGTGTATTGTCTCATACTGAGGTGATGGTAAACCAGGGCAAATGCCCATATGTCATATTCATTTGTGTGTAATAAAGCATAATTTTTGGAAATTATTCCCTTAGTGTCACGTTCTGTTCATTATGTAGCCGCTTTTCTGTGAATCTCTTTTCACAACCCTCCTTTTTTGTATGCCTCTTTTGGCTACTGAATGGAGACCATACATTGGGTGACACGTTAATGTATTTAATAACCTCTTTAATAACTATCTTAGTAGACTCTCATGAGGACCCTGGTGTGAGCAGGGACTCTGGTTGGGACCCTGTTGTGAGCGGGGACCCTGATGGGAAACCCTGATGTGAGCAGGGACTTTGATGGGGACCCTAATGTGAAGAGGACCCTGATGGGCTCGAGTTTATTTGGAATTTCTTTACTTTGTTTTCCTGAAGTTCTTTCTCAAATCATACCATGCTGATTACAAAAAAAAAAACTTCATGTAAAAACTTATTAATTTGTTTTAATTTTAATAGTTAATTTATAAAACTATATAAAAACTATTATATAAAAATTTTGACCCAGATCATTGCCTTCTGCCGTTCACACTACGCGTCTTGTGATATACACGCATCTAAACCTCTCTAGCAGCCTTTCTCAAACGTTTGGAGAACTCTTGAAATTATTTGTAACTGTTGGGGAACCCCTGCTAAATTATTATAGTTATCAACAGTTCAAGATAAATTAGGAATGTGGTGTACTCAGAGTATTAGACTTTCAAAACAGATTTTATTTAACCCCTTCATAACTGAGGGTAAAAACTAATTCTAATGCCTGAGCACAATTTTGCAACTTGACATGTGTTAGTAAAACCATATGTAACACCTATGGTAGTGAGCTCTATAGGTCCACAGCTTGGGGTTCCCCAGGGTGCGGAATCTAAGCACCAGCCTGCTTGTTCACCAGGGCTCCTGATGGTGGGGATGGACTTTCAGCAGGCTGGGACCAGTTTGCGGCCCCCAGGTACACCCAGCTGAGGTGGAGGAGACCGCTAGCGGGAGCAGGGTGAAAAGGAGAAGACACAGGGAATCCAATGTGCAAGCCGAGGTCAGGACAGGCGGCAAACAAGCAAGGTCAGGAACGAAGCTGGGGTCGGTACACAGATAGACAATACAGGATTCACAGCGGGAACACACACGGGAGCTCCAACAACAAGACGTTGCTCAGGCAAAGTGGGACAGACTGAGCATGTCTTAAATACACAAGCCAGCTAGGAGGCGGGTCAGAATGTGATAGAAGGGAAGGACATAAAACCCAGAGGATAGCAGACGACGCCCACAGGTGAGCACAGACAAACAACATGTGAAGGAATCAAGAGCAGCAAAGAGGTAAGAATAAACACACAAGAGGCTGCAGGCTAACTTGTGACACCATACATATCACTGTAACTACTTTGTGCATCCAGGTGGATTATGCCTTTTGTTTTTGCTTTCTTTTGGTGGTAAATGGTAACGTATATCTTCTGATTATTTTATTATCAAAGGAAAACTGGCCCAAAATAGTAAAAAAAAAAAAAAAATTTAATTTAGCTTAATATTGCTACTACAATAACCTATTGCCAAGGAACAACCCAAAATAAATTCTCCTGCTCCAGTCAATCGCAGTGATGACACATATGTGTATGTTATTTGTTGTTTGCACAGTAGTGTGCATTTTGCTTTTTTTTTTTATCCTGTCTAAAACATACCAACACTGAATCTAACTGACACTGATACTAATTTATAAGAAAAAATTAAAAAAAGAAATCCTGCACAAAATATACTGATCATGACCTTTGATGCTGACCTTTGACCCGTACTTGACCAACTAGGAAGGAAAGAAAGAAGGGAAGGAAGGAAAAAAAGAAAGAGAAATACAAACAGTGAGAAAGAAAGGGAAACATGAGACAAAGAAAGAGAGAAAGAAAGAGAGAAAGAAAGAAAGAAAGAAAGAAGAAAGAAAGGAGAGACTTAGGAGACAGAAAGAAAGAAAGAAAGAAAAGAAAAAGAAAGAGAAAAAGAAAGAAAGGAGAGAATCAGAAAGAAAGAAAGAAAAAGAAAGAAAGAAAGGAGAGAATCAGGAGACAGAGAGAAAGAAAGAAGAAGGAAGAAAGAGTAAGAAAGAAAAAAGAAGGGGGAGAGAAGACACAAGGCTGGTGGGAGTGTGGGCGGGGCAGACACAGGAGGAGAGGGCGGGAGGAGAAGGGGCAGAACCAGCTTTCGCTCTCCTCCCCCATCTGTAGTGGTGGGGAGGGGGGGGGGGGACTGTCAGCACTGGGAACAGAATATGCTGACAGATCCCCCGCAGCACTGCAGAAGATAGGGGGGAAGCATACAGGAGTCCACAGCAGCAAGAGATGGATTGAAAGGGCGGCTGCGTGGCACATAGAGGAACCTAGAAATGCACGGTGCGGTTCCTCTATGTGCTCCCCTCCTATCCAGGTGGGCCCGGCCCACCAGGCAAATGCTGGTGTGCCCTATGGCCAGTCCGGGCCTGATGCACAGCATACTAGCACATTATGGCAGACTTACCTGCCAAACAAAGCCCTCCAGTGCTGTGGTGTCAGCACTCCAGCTGGTCCCAGACACTTCCATCTTTATCCCGTCTTCTGGGTTTGCTCTGTTTGTCTGCTTGAATGGCTGGGCCTTGATGACATCACACCCAGACATGCATGAGGGAGTGACTTCATCGCAGCACAGACTGAGTTGCACATTACCATTGACAGGAAGGGGGAAACATTTATGACAGAAGAAGCCAGTAGCCCACTAGTCTCTTCTGTCATAAAAACCTTACCTGTCAGGAGTTTTAAAATATTTGGGTTCAGTTCCAAACAGTAAGGCCACCTGCTGACTTGGCACCATCCACAGGCAGCTTATCTCTTCAAAAAGACACAGAAGTTGAATCCAACGCAATTTTGCTTCAGCTAATTGCAACACAGTGGATCTTTTTCTAGTCTTTGCAGTCTGTAAGAAGACAATGACTTTCCTAAGCTCTGCAATGTACTAAACATGACAAGTTTTACCCAAATATCACATGCAATATGGAAATCTCAGAGAGAGAAAGGAGCTTACACCACTTGTCCACATACAGTACAGGAGCTGCATTTCTGCAATACTTTGTTATCCAGGCCAGAAGCAGAGACTATTAGGTAATTGTTCCTGTGTTGTGGCTGTTTAACTGTAGCTGCCCATAACATATTGATCCGAATCCTAGTGAGACAAGTCTTTTTCCTATTGTAATTATCTCACAAGCACATTGCCAGATATCTAGGTTTAGATTACTGGTTATTTTCCCAGGAAGGGAATCCCCTCTGTTCACAGAGGTCCTGTCCTGGGTGGAGGCGCTACCAACTTG